GGAGAGAGGCCCCGATGGACCTTGCAGAATCCAGAGGAGCGATTCTCCCTAAATCAGAAGGTCTAGTTCTAGTTGTGTGGCCTTGGGCAAGTCAGATGGCTCGCCTGTGCCTCAGTTTCCCTGGTGTTAAAGTGAGGGATTTGAGAACCTACAAAACCTGTTCATCCGTCCGTTCTGCTCAAGTTTTCGTTCCGGGTTCCCGCCCCTCGCCCTTCTGCTCCACACGCAATTCCAGGGCTCTTAAATCCCTTGGATTTGAGAGTGACCTAAGCCTGCGAGTCTTCCTCCTCTTTCTGCTGTCTTGAATGCTATTTAATCGACTTTTATTCAGTAATTCAGAGGAGTTTTAGCCCTTTTCAATACTTGTCCATTTGTCCTCATAGATTATTTTTTAATTAAAATTTTGTTGCTGGGAAAATCATTTTTTTACTTTAAGCAAGCACTAACATCCCGATTTTGTCGAAAGAGTGAGCAGGTGCCCACAGAGCCACTGAGGAATTATCAGATTTCTATTTTTAAGCAATTCTTAGCTTTTTTGTCCTAAATCTCATGGTATAGTCTAACCAAACCCAGATAGAGTCAAAGAAAGTTCGTTCAAATAAAGGCCGAGTTCAAGGGGATCCACAGGGAAGGAAAGCTTGAGAATATTTAACTGGGACTCCTCTGGAGTAGGAATTCTTTTACTTATCTCATGTACTGAGCACTTTGCAGAGTACCTGGCACCAAGCTGTTGCTCAGTAGATAGTGAAAGACTGTTCATTTCAGTCGGTACCACCTATTTCAACTTATCACCAAGCCAGGGTCATAAATGCATGATGGAACACACACCCCCAAAAAGTGTGCAAGTTTCTACATTTTGTGGAACCAAGAGCTACTACACTCAGAAAAACTCCTGTAATACCATGGTTTGCCAGTAGCAAAATTTTCTTGTTTTGTAGGTTAACACATGTAAGCATTTTAGGAATCTAGATCATTTTTCTCCCTCACAGATTGAAAATCAAGAAATACAAACCAGATGCAGCAGTTTCTTGACATGGAGAACAATAATACAATGGGGTAAGTGCTAAGAAACTTCTTTTTAATAAGTTGGTACTTTACTGTGCCAAAATTCCTGATGATGTGTGAATTTTAAACTAATAACAGAAGGATATACCAATTATTTGTGATGAGATTGAGGGAAAATTCCGATACCTTTAAGAATCTGTATTTTTGAGTCTTTCCAATTTTGACTATGGATCTGCACTTGAAATCACCATTTTCCAACTTTTCAGTGAGTTTTCCCCATGATTTAGGGTCATGGATGCCCTTATAGGCCTCATGTGCTCTTGTGTTTCCACAGTGCAGGAGCTCCTGGCCAGCTGGCTCCTTTTCTCTGCACCAAGTGCCCAAGCATCCTTCCAGACTTGCCCTTGAGGCTGAAACTTAAACATAGCCTCAAAACAGCAACAAGAACTGGGTATTTTACCAAAAGTTTCAGGAAGTGATGGGGAATAGAATTTGTATAGCATTTGCCATTGTAAAAGATAAATTTTTTTTTAAACAAATATCTGTTTCCCTGCCCCTTTCCTGCTACCAGCACCACAAAGGTTTCTCTTCCTACTGTTTCATTAGCCAGCTGGCCACTGGCTGACCCCAAGCTTGGGGCAGTGGAGGGTGGGGAGTGAGGGGGAGTGGAGAAGGCAGGGGAGGACTCTGGGAAGAAGTGGTACTATAGTGCCTAATGTTGACTGTGACTGACTTTGGCGCAAGTGCAACCACTCCCGGTATCTCACTTTCAGTTACTCTGCTCAGACCGTGACTTTTGACATCAGGCTAAAGGGAAGCTGCTCAAGTCTGGATAAGAATAGCTTTTAAACTCCTACTGCATACTCCTCACAACAGCCTGCTAGGTGTCATTTTCATTTTACAACTAAGAAAATTGAACATATTAGTTACAGTATAGTCTAAGTTCTTGTAACCAAGAGACTCCCCAGTACAGGGGTTTAATAAGATTAAAGTGTATTTCTGTTTCATGCACAAGTCCAGAGATGAGCAGACAAGGGCTGGTAGGGCAGCTCTGCCATCCTCGCTACATGGTTTCCAGCTCTGGCCAAAGTGATTGCTTCAGCTCCCACCATCAGGACTGTGCTCCTGCCAGAGGGAAGGGGGAGGGGCGGGATGAGAGAGTAAGACTGTTCCTATTAGGAGTATGACCTGGGAGTGACAAGCTTTGCTTCTGTTCATAGCCCATTAGCCAGAACTTAGCCACAGGGCAAGAGCTAGCTGCAAGGAAGGCTGAGAAATGTGGTCTCTAACTGGGCAGCCATATGCCCAGCTAAAGCTTAGAGGTACTGTAATAAGAAGAATGGATGTTGGTGGACAGCTTCTGTCATACTGAGTTCAGAAAGGCAGAAAGAGAGAGAAATAAAGCAGGAACTGGCCCCAGAATATACAACTGGTTAGTGGAGGAGGTAGCATTTGAGTTCAGATGTCTAGCTCTAAACCCAGCATTCTTTGCTACATTGGAAAAGGATGGCAAAAAGATGTGAGGAGCAGCCTGCCTAGTATGTGTAACAGAGCCAGGGTGGGATTCTGGATTGAGCAGATGTCAGGTCCCAGGTGTGATGATGGCACTAAGGGTTAAGATGCAGATTGAAGATCTTGAACCTCAGGGTGGGTACCAGATATCACTTCACTCTTACAAATCTGAGGCCAAGGAGACTGCTGTTTCTCTTCATGCATTCATTTGGGGAAAATTGTGGCGTACTGAACGTATGCCAGGCACAGCACTAAGCTCTATGACTCACACAAAGACCATTAAGAAACGGACCTTAAAGAACTGAGAATTTAGTGGGGGAACCATAGAGATTGTTTGGTACAACATAATTACAAGCCAGAGTGAATGAGAATTTCGGAGTGAGAGGCTTCCATGAGGAACCCACCACTCACCGCAACAGACATGGGACCAGACCTTGTCGACCGTGGTCTCCAAAGCATGGAGAGCCAGGTTGGCTTTGCCTCTGTCCCAAGCACTACTGAGTAATATCTAGATCATGAAGATAATAAAATCTCATTTGTGAGGGATTTGTTATGTTCTTATCAAACTGTGTCACCGACATACACAGTAACGTTTTGTGGAGCAACCTTCATTTAATAAATATTTATCCAAAGTCTACAATGAGCCATTCATTCGTCTAAGCACCAAGACAGCAGTAAACAAAACAGACCACTCCCCCAAGGACTTTATATGTTAGTGGGAGAGACAGTGGGAGCTAAAAGCATGTTCCATATGGTAACATGAAGAAGAACAAAGCAGGCTAAGGGTGAGAGGAGTGTGGATGGGGAGGTCAAACAAGGAATCCCTGGTAAGGCAGTGTTCGAGCAGAGGTTAGTCTGGGAGAAGAAAGTTCCAGACAGCAGGGACAAAGGTGCAGAGGCCTCCAGTAGGAGCTTTTACACAGAGCATTCATGATGTGGTGAATCACTATTCTCTGACATCTGGGTTATAACAGGGTATGAGTTTTATTTATCCCAGATTCCTCCCAGATTTTGAAATGGTCATATGTAAGTGAGTTTGTCCTTTTCATTTGTTTTTAGAATGTGTGCCCAGAACGTAAATAATTACAGAATGAACAAATGATCTACTTTTATTGGCCTTTTT